TTGGGTTAGTATCAGTCTGCGGAGACGTGCCTCTGATCTCGTTACGGCCGAGAGCTAAGGGCTGCAAAATGACGATCAGCCCGAGCGCCGCTTATTTCGCATTTGTCGCAGCCGCAAATGTCTAAATTTTACAAATCTGGCTTAAGAGACAGAGCCTCGGGTAATCAGATATGCTCGTGATTGTTGTTTTGTATAAACCCCGACGTTTTTGGTGGAGGTTGCGTGACTTTTGACCTTCGCGTGACTATAATTTTATGCATGCACACTTGATTATATACGTATAATAATTTTAGACACGAGGCAGTAATGCGCATTGGCATTTAGCTTTCCTTGTGGTAATTGCGAGAGGGGAATTTATAAAGTTCGTCCCCGTCGGAAAGGGCACCAGCTTTTTCCTAATTTTCTGATCGAAAAAACTCTATATTTCATGATCCTTGTTTTTCTTAGCTTGTTTGGATTTATTTCAAGAGTATAAAAAAAGTTCTGGCAAAAGTTTGGGTCCGAGCATAGTTTATATTGGATGGCCAATAAAAAAGAGAGAGTGGTCTTTCATCTTGTATTCATGGTGCTTATTTAAAGCGAAAGGTCAGGTCAAGTGTCGCAATATTTTCCCCTTTCTTTCAAAAAGAGAGGCACTCCATTGGCGTCCGAGAGACTTGCGAGAGAAGGGAAATCAATTTGTTGCCCATGGGAGGGAAGAACAAGTTGAAAAGCTTGTTTTCATATGCGCCACCTGTGGAAATGAACCCTCGAAAAAAAGGCATGTGAAAAGAAAGAAAAGACCAGTCTTTACTTGCCTGCATTTGCAATTCTTTGATTTGATTTTAAAATTCCATTTTTAATTGTTTATTAATTTGTTTAAAATTCCATTCAAAATTTAAATAAATTATCATGATGTTCTGCATGGGTATTCATTTATCCTTATAATTATATCAGAAGGAGTTGTTGAAATTTTATAAGCTAATCCCGCATTCGAATGGAAAACTTACTACAATATTTCGTACTAAAACTTTATGAATATGCGGAAACAGGGACGAATTATCTAAATTTTCTTTCAACCAGAAATCTCTAGTCTATAATTTGAATTAACTTTTCTAAATAATTATAGATTGGTAAAAACCAATCTTTTTAGTTTTATAATCTTATAGCTAATTAATCAAAATTAAAAAATTGATACGCTTCAAACTTTCTTAGATATACTTAAAAAAATTTTTACTTTGAACTGCTTCTTACAAAATAAGTGCCTTTAAAATCGCATTGTTTTGTGTAAAAATTTTTATAATAATTTTTTTAAGTCATTCTATTTTGTGGCCTTTCTCATAAACGGACTTATATTTTGTTATCCTTCCGTTTCAAATTCATTGTCAATTTACATTTTATTGATTATGGCGTTTGCAATTTTTTTTCATTTATTGCTATTTAAATGATTTTTTTTTATTCTTAACAATTAAAATAAAGAATTTAAAAGATTTTTCGTATCAAAATTATTTAATAATTACAAAATTATAATTGGTGCAGATTTCATGCAAAATTGATACAGAAATGGTGCAGAACCGGTTCAGCTGTTCTGCGTCAGTTCTACACCAATTCTGCCCCTTCCCTGAACCAGTGCTGAACCAATCTAATTAACTATAGAATGGTTCCATTTCTATTTTACTTTCCATGCTTGCCCTTCTATTTTCATAAAAAAAATTATAATTTGCAGTCTTTCGAATTCAAATTCATTGTCATTTTAAATTTTATTGGTCATGGCGTTTGCTATTTTTATATTATGTGTATGTTTACATTACTATGTAATGATATTTTTTTTTATTCTTACCAAATCAAAATCAGGATTTAATAATTTTGTCGAATCGAAAATTTTCAAATTAAAAATTAGTGCAGACTTTGTGCAAAAATGGAACGGAAATGGTGCAGGACTGGTTCATAATTTATGCATCAGTTCTACACCAGTTCTGCACCTTTTCTGAACCAGTTCTAAACCAGGGGTCTAATTAAAGATAGAATCCATTTCAATTTTATTTCCCATTCTTTTTGTTGTCTTTTTCATCAACGGACTTATATTTTGCAGTCTTTCCATTTCAAATTCCATTAAATTTTTCTCTTCAATACAGACTAATTAATTAATTTTTCAATAGAAGTGTTAATTTTAAATTGTTTCATTCAAATTACAAAATTAGCTGATGAGCGTCATTCTTTATAGGAGAAGCAGGTCGTTTAAAAACAATGAGATTCTCCTTTTACTGGTTAAAAATAATGAAATCGGTCGCAGCACTTACTGCGCAGAGACGCAGCTGAAAAAGGAAAAGTCAAAACGAGGCAATCAAACCGTCGAGAGTGAGAGCATTACACGGCCTTCCATTTACCCTATCTGTGTATAGCTCTCAACGTTTCAGTTAAAGAGGGATTTGGCCTCCGCTGCTTTTCACACGTGTGTCGAAAACGTTTGGTGCCGCATCAAATATCAGGGATTACTTGAGCTCGGTGGCAGATAGAAAGCTCTCGAGTGTGATGCCACCACTCATCCCTTTTCATCATTTCGCCCGCTGTGTTATTGCTTGAAAAGTTAATAGTGCGGATTATCGAGTGGACCGGCCGCACCGAAAGAGCTCATTTTCGGAAAGTGTCCATCGGTCTATTCATCCATCCATCCATCGTCCGGCCTGCGGCTGTCATCAGTGCAGACAAGCGCGGATAGATGGATGACTCCTTTCCAACTTTGTCGGCGAGAGGCGCACAAATTATGTATGTTCCTGGCGGAAATTTCATTTGCCCATTGGAACGTAACGTGTTTAGAAGAGTCCCGGCGGCGGAAAGGGTGTATAAAATTCATTTTGACGCTGTGCATGAGAAGGGTGAGCGTTATTGTAATCTGAAATATCTATCAAAAGCGTGAATTTACACCACGTCAAGCTCCGTCAGTTTTTTTTTTTTTTTATCTAAAAGCGGCAAAAAATCTGCTTTGGAAATAAAAGCTTAACTAAATTTTTTATGCAGATGAGTTTTATTTTAATTTAAAATAATTATTAAATTTATTTCTTTGTTATAATCGGCTCGACTGTAGATAAATCTCAGGCATTTTTATTCAATCTGCTTTGGAAACTTGATTTATTTTGTTCTAGGGACAAGAAGGTTCTGAAAATTTATATTAATCAAGTAATTTTTTTAAATAATATTTAAAGGGTTTTTGGAAATTAAAAATGTGAAATCTTTAATTTTTTGCCATCGTTATTATGACACACTTCTCTGGTTTCTTCATATTTTCTTTACATTTAATTAATTTGAGAATATTTTCAATATTAAAATTTTATTTTAAATAAGAATCACAATAAATTGATTTATTCTAATTATTCTTTTTAAGAAATAAAAAAAAACTATTAAATTGGGTTGTATTGAATGTAATAAATTGATTTATACAACAAAATATTTACCTTCAAAATTATATTTTGTCTTTTATTTTACATTCAGTTTTTTTTTTAATTTAATTATGCAGAAATTTCCAAAATTCCCCAATTTAAAAAAAAATGTTTTTTCTACTTTTATTCATTTCTTTTCAATTTGACTTTTGTATACATTGAAGAATTTTGCTATCTTTGCGCCTCTCGCCCCTCGCAATGGCTGGGGCATACGGACGAGTCGCAAAAATTTCATATTCACGCTTTTTGTGACGGGTCATCAATCAGAAAACCGGACCGAATTTTGCCGCACGCCATTCAAGTGCCAGATAAACACAACACAGAAGCGTAGCGTCAGCTGGGTTGCGAAAAAAATTCATGGCGAAAATTTATATATCATTTAATGTGCCTTGCTTTTTTCCCATCCCGTTTTTTTTTTTTTGTATTTTATTTCTGGTGGTATCAACGTCACTCAATATCCAATATTTTGGGCGCCAACCGAAGCAAATTATGGCCTCATCGGAGAGGCGAATGAATAAATAGCCTAACGAATATAAATTCACAAAGCCCGACCGCGCCACGGGCGTGTGGTGAAATCTCTCTTCGGCAATTAAATTAGCCGCGCCACTCGCCACCAGCAGCCGATCGACCAACTCATTTGCATGCACCCAATTTCCGCGTTGGTACACACAACAGCCGCGCTCTCTTTTGATTACACACTCACAATACATATTGCTCTGGCAGCGTGTGTGTTCGCGCCTAAAAAATTCATCCAACGTTCATTATGTGAAAACTCGGAAAAGTCATTTGCAAAAGCGTTAATGTTTTCGATTCGCTAATGGGATTTTGCATTTTTGTTTAATCAGTTTTTCACTCTCCGCCTGTTTCTGACAAAGTGAGTAATTTAACGGTTTTAGCAAATAAAATGATTCGTTTAGAATAAAATTTTGATTAATTATGAGCACTATAATTATTCACACAAATAGAGTGTTTTAATTAACTAATCCATCATTTTGAATCGACACTTCATTATTCATGTTGTAATTTAAAATGCAAATAATAAAAGACTTGCCATTGCGTATTTTACATTGTTATTCCTTTTTTTAGACTCATTTCCTAACTGAAACTACAAAGTTAGCAAGAATACCAAGAAAAAAAAGTTGAAAGCATAATTATTATTTTATGTTAATTCAGTTCCAATCTTATGCTAAGATTTGAAAGTCTTTTAATTTCTTTGTAAATAATCCTAAAAATTTCATTTGCAATTAATTAACATAAAATTTCAAACATCCTTGAATCGTCTGTCGCAGACAAAAAGTTCAGAGAAAAAGAGTCTCAACTGATGAAAAGATATCTTCCTGAATCTTGTATGAACGGTTTTTCACTCTTTTATTAAAATTCTTTGAAAGAATTTTTGTAAATATATAAATAAATCTCACACAATCCTAACCAGGAAACGTCTGATTGAATTTTGAAGACCAAAAAGTTGTCAACCACTATAAGAAGCAATCTTCTTTTTTCATCAATGAGGCGTTGATTAAAAAATATTAATAAAAAATGATAAGAGAGGAAGTTAATTTAAAGTGCATTTTCCTTTGATTGCAGTGTTGAACGTCCCGAAGCTGTGATACCAACCAGCAGTCTCAAGTCTGGTTCCACAAGAAGAGGCGGCATCGGAGGCAACATCTCCATGTCCACCATGTACTACGGAGCTGCTTCCGCCTCCGCCGCCGCCACCCAGCTCAACAGCACGACGAACGGTAAGCAATTTTGTTTTAAATTCCGTAGTTATTAAGTTACTAAAAAAAAATTAAAAAAAAAAACAGTCGCAATTTAAAATGGGGAAAATTTCAAGAATGATACAAAATTATTTAAAACAAAAATGATTTGGCATTATTTATTTATTTATTTTTTATCCATAGCACTGAAAATGAATGAAACACTCCAAATAAAACAAGCACACTTAAAAAAATTGTAATTTTTAAATTAATTTTATTTAGAATATTATTTTTAAAAATTAATCAAAATTAGGCTCTAGTAAAAAATCCAAAGTCTAATCTTCTGTTCGTGTTATTCACACCGAAACTCAACTCTAGCTTATGAAAGCAAAACTTGAAGATTTTACTAATTTTCAGCGCGCATATCACCCGCATAAAGAGGAACGTTTGCGGTATTCAGTTTCACTCTCGCTTGCTACCTCCGACACGAAACTCTGAGCGGCTGTCAGAGAATTAATTTAGCACAAAAGCTTTAATTAAAAGCGACGGGGTGCACTCTTCTGCTTGCACCTCGGAAAGGATCCTCTGCTTCTCGCGGCGCCATTCAAGTCGCCGCCACTAATGAGTACCTCCACACACCTGCTTTGTGAAATGTGTCTTTCTCTCTCCTGCGCAAGTTATTTAAACGCGTTGCTAATCAGGCGAAGAGCCACTCAAAGTAATTAGCCCAATCAATAAAAGCGGCCTCGAAAACGGGCCTAATACTTTTAATCAAGGGCACGTCACATTATGTGCAGAGCGCCAAGAGCTCGAGAGAACAATATAATCCAAAGTCAAGTGGTCCTTTCGCGAAAGCTGCCACGTCGTTACTCGCGGGGCGGCGCTTTGTGTGCTGGAATAAATCAGGCGGTTGTTGCACAAACGCGCTTTAATTAAATTACACGCGAGTTGAGAACTTCTCGGCGAGACGCGTTCCTTATTCGGGTGAAAAGTATGTGTCTGCGAACTGCAAGATTACACAACACACTGTAAGCAACCTTATTCCTTAGAAAAGTTCCTCTTAAATTCAAGTTTTAAAGCAAAACTAACCGTTTCCAATATGAAAAAAATTTAAATAAACATTAATCAAATGCAGTATGCTTAATTTATTTATTTATTTATTTATTCTATGAGTGAATTTAATTTACAATTTTAAATGATCCAGAGCTAATGGATAACATAAAGAGGTGCTTTTAAGGAATTTTCCATCAGATTTAATTTTTGCAATCTTACAAAACTCCCTTAAAGAATAAAGAATATTGTTAGCCGACCTTAAATATTTAAATCCACTGATGTGTATTTTCTAAAAGCGCTCATATCTTTTAAATTTTATTGATGACGTTACAATTTCTGGGTAAAAATTTTATTCTTTACTTTTTACGCTTTTGAGGTACTTATGAGAAAGGAAGAATACAAAATAAATTGATTTAAAACTTACAAAAAGCACAAAAAATTATTACGCAATTTTCGAGGCTTTTTGAACAAACCTGAAATATTCTACTTGCATTGGTAACTTTGTTTTGATTTTAAAGCTAATTGAAATATGCTTATTTTTTTTTTAAATGGAAGAAAATTTGCACGTTTTCCAATAATTCTTTTAGCCGTAAAATTTCTTCCATTACTCCTTTTGTTTACTGCATCATTATTGTGTTTTTTTATTTGTTAATTTAGAATAATTTATTATTAAATAAATTTTGTATTCAGTATTTAACACCAAACTTTTGGGATTGAGTGGGCTTATCTAAATTTTCAATGCCTTTCAAATGATGCCGGAGGAAGTTGCCTCTGTAAGTAATTTGCAAACCACACCTGAGCAGCCCTAGGGGTAAGACTGTATATATTTATCTTCTTGCTCAACGCAAATCCAATTCGCAAGAAGCCGAAAGTTTTGACAGTTCACCCACCTTGCCACTCTAACTCTGGCAGTTAGATAAAGGACTACCTTATATAATTAATACGGGGCCACTATATTCGCGACTTAATTAAATCTGCCTTCCGAATTCCGGGAACGCAATTTCGTCTTTATGAAAAATTCACACTCGACGGCGTCTTTTGCTGTGAGCGTCTTTCTGCTGAATTATTTCTGAGGGGGACTCTGTTTTCAGAGACTTACTCCTTGTGAAGAGTTTTCGGAGAACAGAAAATGTATAAAACATATTTATACACATTATTTTCGAATCACTCGACTGCAAAAATGCACTTCTTCTTCTTCTTTCCATCCTGGCAGCAGAAAATAGGTTTTTGCACTCAGACGACGTACATACATAATCTTGGATGGGCCGGAGTGACATATAGGAATTCTTTCTTTCTTGCATCCGATCGGGCTGAGTGAGAGATTTGCTACTCCGGTGCTCTTTTCAAAAATCCGCTCGTCGTCTTTTCAAGTGCTTCGGGCCGGATCGATGCCTCTTCTCTCTCTCTCGGCCGCCATTCATACATAGGTACTATTAAATTATGCCTCGTGCATCCTGGTGGAGAGATTTTAGCCTCTTGAGAGCGGTGAATACCGATTCAGGCACTAATGGCGCACGATTCGCATAATTGGGTTTCGGCAGAAAACGCTATAATCGCGTTCGCTGCCGGCGGCCTACCCATTATTTCGCACAATTGGGAGATGCTCTCTTCATGAATGGTGCTGAGAAAGAACGTAGAGCAGGGGATGAGAATTTTCAAGTTCAATTAAATTGTGTAAAGACCGCACAAGTAGGGAGCTTTTGGTTTTTCATGTATTTATTCCCTCAGTCACAATGAGTTCGAAAATAAATTACTTTAAAGGGATAAATACAAACTTTTTAACAGTGAATTTAGGTTCTTTTAGTTATAAATTAAAATCCCAATTAAATGTGAATGTATTTAACGCTATAAATACAAAGTATTGAAATAATAGACTTGAATTAATTGTGGCAGCTCATAATTCACAATGCTTTTTAAATAATTTAAACTCGAAAAAACGCATTAAAACGGGCTGTAAATCCATTGAAATTAACATTAATTTCAGATAAATTTTTTATTTTTTACCTGTTCGAGTAATTGAGACTAAAAATTGCTCCACTTTCACCAAACTTAAAGTCTCGGTGTTTAAAAGCAGACATCAAGTCACCCACCGTGGGAAAGAAAAGCTTATTGTGATTTTCCTTTCATTTTGCTTCTTTTTTCGACAATCTGAAGAACCTCTTGTGCCTTTGAATAAATAATGTGAAAACAACAGCAGCCTCCCAAGAGGAAGTCTTTCAGCAGTTTTTGCTGTGATATGCATTTCTTTTTTAGCAGAAGAGAGGATTAAAAGTATGCGTTTTCCACTTTTTGTAAGAACATTTATTCTCGAGCAAAACAAAAAAAGTTACTAAAAAATTCTCTTCTGTTGTTCAAATTTTTACCAGTGCTTTTTAATATCATTATCTTGTGTGAGTTTAAGTTTGTTTTTAATTTTATTTTTAATTTTGTATTCTCTTGGAAATGGAGGCAAGTGGACTAGTAAAAACGTTGGTTTCCTTGACCCTTTTCTTTAAGAATTGCTACATCAGTAAAAATCCCAAAAGAAAAATAGAAAATTTCTATATTTAACAAAAAAATTAAAGCTTTTACAAAGTTTTTGTGATGGATTAAATAATTTAAACAGTCTTACTGAGTATTACAAATATAAACCAAAGTTCAAACCGCAGACGATATGGAAATTAATTCTGCATCAGTTAATTCAGTAATTGGAGTTTTATTTCCACATATTTGCTCAACAGTCCGGCGTTTTGCAACGTATGTGAAGGATAAAAAAATATAATAGAGAAAGACGATACTCGTGGACTGTCAGGAGCAAATATTTAGAATAAACCTGCACATTGTCCGCCGGTGCGCACCGTCGACAAGTGGGCATGGGGTATAGAAATAGCAATGAAGTGGCCACATATGAGGCGAATGAAACCACTCGAGGGAGTGTGGGTCGAAATCGCAGCCAGAGTATAATATTATATATTGAAGTGGACTCGAAAAAGTTGGTGACGCTGCCACTCGGGCCCTGAGGGTGCCTGCAACAATGCACATATCGCGGAGCCGGCAGCGTGCAGCGGCGGTGCCGGGGGTGTATTGATTTTGCCGAATGCCGCCAGGAACACTTTCTCGCCCGCCGCCGCCGCCACCGCAGCCAGCGCAAGCACCACCAACCAACCCTCCTCTCTCTTTCGTACACACACACACGACACGACGAACCTCCTCGGGTACAAGCCAAAAATTTAATTAAACGCCTCGGGTGCCGAGCGAATCGCTTCGCACCCTGAGAGAGGTATGCAACCTGCCGCCTCCGATTACGACCGTCGCACTCTGGAATTTGGCAAAATTTCGCGTCTTTCCCTCCGCTTCCTTAAAAATAAAACCTCAGACGCCGGAAAGTCGAGACGAAATTCCAGGATTTGGCTCTAGAAATTCTGTTAAATTAAATTGCAAATTTTTGCTTGAAGTGCATCCCACATTTTTTTTTTCAAATTGAAATTGTATAATATAAAAAATGAAGTGTCAAATTTAAAAAAGAAAGTAAGTTGAGTAATTAACTTACTTAGGTTTACTTTACCCTTAGAGAAACATAAAAAATTGTATCAATTTTACCTTGTTCTCAGGAGTTCTATTTTATTTCAGTCACGAAACAAAAAAGTATCCCTTATTTTGAAAAATAATGAATAATCATACAAGCACAGAGACCACTAAAATTGTTAATTAGAAATTTAAATTATAAAAAAAACACACACACAAATTTTCTGGTTCCTTGCTAATTCATTATGAGATAAAAGTAAAAAATAAACTCTGATTTATTTTAATTACTTTCCTCTTCTAAATAAAACTTTTAAATTAATCAAAATTTAATAATCTCTGTAAATTTCTGGTTTTTTGCCCCAATGTTTTTCAGGTGCAATTGTATTATTTTATCAAATCAACGTTGGCCACAGTAGTTTCCTTTCAACAGAATCTGCCGCTTTTGTTTGCCAAAAGGAATTTCCCGGGAACGGCATCTCAGCTCA